AATTTTGAAATTAAAAAAGAATTAGAGAGGTGTAGGGAGTATTGTGTGGTGGTGAAGGGAGCAACACTCATAAGATATTTGGTGGTTAGTAGTATTTTAAAAAGTAGATAAGATAAAACAAGAGAGGAAACCCTGATGATTTTATAAGATTAAGTAAGAGATTTTATTTTAACTAAACAAGATAAAGATAAAGTGAAAAAATATAAAAAGAGAAGAGGAAAAGGGGATTGCACATAGTTACCTTAAAATCTGTAAACGAAATTGAGATAAATAAGGGAGAGAAAATATGTTTTCTATGAAAAAAATAGGAAGAGGTGGGATTAAGAACTACTCTTTCACACTTTTTCTGTTAATCTCTTTAAATTATAATCACTTGTCTCCTTATCTTATTTATGTATTTATAAGTTTTGAAGTGGACTTTTAATTAGAATTGACCAAATTACGGCCTAAAAGTCCATTAACGTGTTTTATCTATTTTTACTTGTTAAATATGTTGAATTTGTGATGAAAGTTTTAAAGGTATAATAATCGATTAGTATGTTGTGAAAACATGACTGAACAAATAACAACATTTCATTAAGATTTGGAAAAATCTTCAACATTTATTTAGAAATATTGACCCAAAGATAAACTTTGACTTTACGGTTATACGATACAAAAAAAAATTATCAGAAAGGTTAATTTAAAGACAAAAGGAATAAAGATTTAACTTTAAAATAATGTTTACTTTGGCGTAGCATTTGCCTTGTCAAAACTTTTAAAATATTAATAATTAATTTTTGTAAAAGACGTAAGTTAAGAATGGGGAAATGGAAAGACTCCCTCAAGATAAATAAAAATTAGAAAATAATATATAGACAAGTAATCATATAAACAAATTAAAAATCTTATTATTATTTTATATGATAATTCCATTTATGGGGACATTTTGAAAGAACGGGATATATATATATATTGAAAAAATATAGATAAATTAACCATATTACTAATTTATTTTATTTAAAATGCATTTAATACTAGAATGTAAATATTTTGATTTATTACTCTATTTGAGATATTACTAAATTCATAATTTAAAAATTTTGATATATTTTTGTCTTTAAAAAAACATTTTTATGAGAAGAATATGTATTTAAATTATTTATGTAAAACTATTAAGATATCAAAATAAGTCATAAATGGAGGATTAAGAGAATTTTTGTTCTTGTAAAGTATATTTATACCAAATTTGGCCGGTCTTTAAAAGGATTGTAAGATCTCAAGAGTTGAATTGTCATATTTTGGAAAGTAACTCCGAGTTTTTCAGATAATAAAGTGAATATTTATGTTTAAATAACTACACGACAAAATTTTAAAATATATAGATTATATTTTGAAAAGTTTTTCCAGGTTTCTCAAATAATAAAGTGAATATTCACATTTAAATAACTATGCGACAAAATTTTAAAATATATAGATCATCTTTTGAAAAGTATACTCGAATTTTTTGGATAATAAAATGAATATTACATTTAAATAATTACACGACAAAATTTTAAAATATATAAGTCATCTTTTGAAAAGTTTTTTTAAAATTTTTGAATAACAAAGTGAATATTCATATTTAAATAACTATACGACAAAATTTTAAAATATATAGATTTTGTATTAATAGATATTAAGTTAAGTATTATAATTGACCAAATGCGATATGTTATATATATGATTTTGTGTACGAGTTTAATTTTTTTTTATTGTATGTGAGTTTTCAAAATACACTTGCTGATTTTAATATTTTAAAATATAATAAAGAAAAATTGATGTATGACAATATTAATATTATATATTTTGAAGATAAAAGAAAAGCATAAAAATATATATTGAAAAATAGAAATGAATTATTGAAAAAAAATAGATAAATTAACAATACTAACAATTTACCATATTAACAATTTATTTTATTAAAAATGCATTTAATACTAAATGTAAATATTTTGATTGTTTATTATTCCATTTTGGATATTATCAACTTCTTCAGAATTTGAAAGTTGATATATTTTTGTAATGTATTTAAATTATTTTAAATTTTGATTTTTAAATTATAAGACTATTAAAATATCAAAGTAAGTCATAAATTGATGATTATAGTTTTTCTTGCAAATAATCTTAAATATTTTTACCGAATTTAGTCAAAGATATCTTTGAAATGGGTTATAAGATCTCAAGAGTTGAATTGTCATATTTTGAAAAGTGTAAAGTGAATATTCACGTTAATGTAATTTTTGTCCCTATAAATGACGTTAAATATTTTTATTGAATTTGGTCAAGATATCTTTGAAATGAACTGTAAAATTTCAAGAGCTAAATTGTCATCTTTTGAAAATGTCTGAGTTTCTCGGATAATGCGGTGAATATTTACATTTAAATAACTACACGACAAAATTTTAAAATATATAGGTCATTTTCTGAAAAGTTCTTCCAGGTTTTTCGGATAACAAAGTGAATATTCACATTTAAATAACTACACGACCAAAATTTTAAAATACATAAGTCACTTTTTAAAAAGTTTCTCTGAATTTTTCAAATAACTAAATGAATATTCATATATAAATGACTATGCGACAAAATTTTAAAATATATAAATCAATTTTTGAAAAGTTTCTTCAAATTTTTCTATAATAAAGTTTTTTTATAATAAAGTGAATATTCACATTTAAATAACTACACGACAACATTTTAAAATATATATATTTTGTATTAATATATACTGAGTTAAGTATTATAATTGACCAAATGTAATATGTTATATTTATGACTGAGTTTTTAAATTATTTTTTTTTGTTTGTGAGTTTTCAAAATAATATTGATTTTAATATTTTAAAATATAATAAAAAAAATTAAGGTGTGACAATATTAATATACTTTGAAGATAAAAAAATTGAGGTGTGACAATATCAAAATAAGTCATAAATTGAGGATTAAGGAATTTTTTTCCTTGTAAAGTATATTTATACCAAATTTGGTCAATCTTTGAAATGGATTGTAAGATCTCAAAAGTTGAATTGTCATATTTTGGAAAGTAACTCCGAGTTTTACGGATAATAAAGTGAATATTTATGTTTAAATAACTACACGACAAAATTTTAAAATATATAGATCATATTTTGAAAAGTTTTTCCAAGTTTCTCCAATAATAAAGTGAATATTCACATTTAAATAACTATGCGACAAAATTTTAAAATTTTAAAATATATAGATCATCTTTTGAAAAGTATACTCAAATTTTTTGGATAATAAAATGAATATTCACATTTAAATAATTACACGACAAAATTTTAAAATATATAAGTCATCTTTTGAAAAGTTTTTCCAAAATTTTCGGATAAAAGTGAATATTCATATTTAAATAATTATACGACAAAATTTTAAAATATATAGATTTTGTATTAATAGATATTAAATTAAGTATTATAATTGACCAAATGCGATATGTTATATTTATGATTTTGTGTACGAGTTTAATTTTTTTTTATTGTCTTGAGTTTTCAAAATACACTTATTGATTTTAATATTTTAAAATATAATAAAGAAAAATTGATGTATGACAATATTAATATTATTTTGAAGATAAAAGAAAAGCATAAAAATATATATATATAGAAATGAATTATTGAAAAAAAAAAGATAAATTAACAATACTAACAATTTACCATATTAACAATTTATTTTATTAAAAATGGATTTAATACTAAATGTAAATATTTTGATTGCTTATTATTCCATTTTGGGTATTATCAACTTCTTCAGAATTTGAAAGTTGATATATTTTTTTTATGTATTTAAATTATTTTAAATTTTGATTTTTAAATTATGTAAGACTATTAAAATATCAAAGTAAGTCATAAATTGATGATTAAAGTTTTCCTTGCAAATAACCTTAAATATTTTTACCGAATTTAGTCAAAGATATCTTTGAAATGAGTTGTAAGATCTCAAGAGTTGAATTGTCATATTTTGAAAAGTGTTTCCGAGTTTTTCGGATAATAAAGTGAATATTCACATTAATGTAATTTTTGTCCCTGTAAATGACGTTAAATATTTTTATTGAATTTGGTCAAGATATCTTTGAAATGGACTGTAAAATTTCAAGAGCTAAATTGTCATCTTTTGAAAATGTCTATAAGTTTCTCGGATAATACGGTGAATATTTACATTTAAATAACTACACGACAATATTTTAAAATATATAGGTCATTTTCTGAAAAGTTCTTCCAGGTTTTTCGGATAACAAAGTGAATATTCACATTTAAATAACTACACGACAAAGTTTTAAAATATATAAGTTACCTTTCAAAAAGTTTCTCTGAATTTTTCTAATAACTAAATGAATATTCACGTATAAATGACTACGCGACAAAATTTTAAAATATATAAATCAATTTTTGAAAAGTTTCTTCAAATTTTTTTATAATAAAGTTTTTTTTATAATAAAGTGAATATTCACATTTAAATAACTACACGACAACATTTTAAAATATATAGATTTTGTATTAATAGATACTGAGTTAAGTATTATAATTGACCAAATGTGATATGTTATATTTACGATTGAATTTTAAATTTTTTTTTTGTTTGTGAGTTTTCAAAATAATATTGATTTTAATATTTTAAAATATAATAAAAAAAATTGAGGTGTGATAATATTAATATACTTTGAAGATAAAAGAAAAGCATAAAAAATTTAACAGAAAAAAATCCAATTTTTTTCTTTGACCTAAGATTAAAGATATTTAATAAAAAATAATCATTATCTTATATCAATATCAAAAGTGTTTGGATTCATTTATCCGGTGGGAATGACTTCATATATTCCTTAATAGACCAAATAAACAAATATCTGGGACCGGATAGTTACGATAAAAATCTCCCAAAAGCGATAATTGAGATCATAGGTTAATGGATTGAGACAAAATTTTGAAAGATTTAGGTGTTACAACTTTGCACAAGTTTGCACCAAAAAAATAAAAATAATAAAGTAAGTTAAAAGGAGAAACTACTTTTACAGTGCTAAAATTATTATTACAGATCTACTCAAAGAACAGGACAAAATACCATTAATTAATTCGTAAATATATTTGTTTGACAGCAACCCCACAGTTTCTGAGAATCTTTTGAAGAAACGTTTTCATCAGAGTGGGGTTAAGCCTCCCAGCATAACTAGTAGCAGAGGCTTCACCGCATTGACACTGTTGTTGCATGAGAGAAACAAAAACATGCGAACTATGTAATGAACCACACTTGTTTCTCGATTTGTTTCTGGTTTCTATGTCACTTAAAATTTGTAATTGCACAACATTCTGTGGCTGATTATAGAGTAAAAGGATTTCTATAAAGACGGACTTTCTCTGGGCATCAACTACCATGTTCTCTGCTTCTGCCACCTTTAATCGCCAATGCCGGTGACCAGAGATACTGTTGTTTAACTTATGCCTGCGTTTTATCTTCTGGGTATGTCGTTTTTTCTTCTGCTCACGTGATTATTCTTTCTACTTTCCCAAATGAAGATATGTGAGTGTGGACAAGCCCACATCGGTCGATGAAATTTTCAGAATCCTGTAAATAACAAAGGATAATTCTTATTGGAATTGTGTTAGATTTCTTCCAAATTCTGAGAAGGTGACAGATCGTATATGATAATGGTCATTTTGTTTAAAATTCTAATGTGTGTAATTTTGGGACCTAGTTCATGTTCTTGGATAGTTCATCTTCCAAGGCTTTGTTTTTATTATTTTTGCTATTATTTATTAATTATTAAAGCCAGTGTCTGATGTTTTAATGGTTCCTTGTCAAATAATTAACAATGACTGAATTTCTGTTGCTACATGTTCAGGTTGGAATTCAGTCAAAACACAACATTTATGATTATTAATAATAGTTTTTATTATTATCACTGTTAGTATTATTATTGTATTAACTTTTGTGCTTTTTTTACCTTGTTTGTAACTGTTGTTTCTTTCATGATCTGCTTCTTTGATTCATGTCACACTAAAAGGAAAAAACTGTGAGGTTTTGCTAATGTCTGTGATTACTTATGTAGTGCAGGAATAGTAAAGAAAAAGTTCTGCAAACAGATTAAAGATGGTCCCAATTGGTCATGCTTCCGATGACAAGCAGAAAAAACGAGGCATAGTGTTTTCTAACCCTGCTTCTGCCCAATGCTTTGTGATTTTAATATACTATGTTTCCTTTTCACATTGTTTAGTTTCTCTTCCACCAACTTTTCCCTGTGATGAAAATGTTGATTTTTATTTTTCTCTTGCAGACTCAGGAGAAATCGTTTTGGAGGAGAAAAGTGTGGTAACTCTAAGAGAACTCTTGGAAGAATGCATTAGTGACACTGAGAAATCTCATCAACCACCTGAATTAGCTGGTGGTAATCCAAGCTCAACGACCGAGTTTCACCGGAGGAAGTTACTCAGACCATGCAGAATGAGATCAATTGAGCGCCTACCATCTTTTCCTCCAAGTTGTTTGTCAAAACTAACAAAGCCTAAAAGCAAAGGCATTGGGAAAAACACTATTCGATGTAATCCACACAGTTCCAGAACTTTGGTGAATTTCAGTCTTTCTGACCTGAGAAATGCAACCAACAATTTTAGCAATGGTTTGTAGTTTAACCTTGTTTTCACACCAATTGTTTTTCTAGTAATAATGTAGTTACATTAGGACGAGGTAACAGGACATACCAAACCAGATAGAATTACATTTCGAAAATTACAGCTTGTGTTTGGTTTAATGTCTCATAGATCTGCAAGTAAATTCATGTCAAAATTATGACTATAATGCAGAAACAAGTGTTTTATGCTTCCAAATTGACGTGAGTCTATTATAATGTTGCTTGAATGGATACACTAGACAAGATAAGATTAGAAAATAAACAAAAAAGTTAGGATAACACCTACTGCAGAAAGATGATAGAACTCCTTTTAAGTGGTTTAGGAATGTACAAAGAAGACTTGTAGAAGCCCCCTCACACTGGGTAACCCAATTGCTGGAGGCAGAGAAAAACTAAAGGCAAATCCATTAGGAAATATTTTCAAGTAAATAAGTTGTTTACCTATACATGGTTTGTGTCAGAGGATTGTGTATATTTGGATTAAAGTTTGCTAACATTAGTCTGTATAAAAAGTATGTTGTGAACATAAGTTTGATAAAAATGAGTTTACTGTAACATAAGTTTCATAAATATTTGCTGTGTAGTTGCTATTAGGAACTATGTTATTGCTTGATGAAAACTGCATCAATTTGACCATGTAGTTTTTTTTCTTCCTTTTACTTGTAGAGAATATAATTGGAAGAGGTGGTTATGCTTATGTTTACAAGGGCAGCCTGCAAGATGGGCAACTAATAGCAGTTAAGCAACTGAGTAGAGGGACTCCAGAAGACAGGATATCAGTTCTTCTATCTGAGCTAGGAATTCTTTCTCATGTTGAACACCCCAATACTGCCATGCTTATTGGGTTTGGAGTTGAAGGGGGAATGTACCTTGTTTTTCGATTATCTCCTATGGGAAATTTAGGATCTCTTCTTCATGGTGTGTACTTGATTCTAATAATTCTACTGTTTTCCCGTGTGAAAGCTTTCTTCTTTTTTTACCATATTACAAGTGTAAAGTATTTGTCAATGAGATATATCTGTTGGAGAATATGATGAACCATCTTTAATGAAATCTCTCTATAAAAACACTTTTTTTCATTCAGGAGAGTCAAATTCAAGATCCTGCTTCAAAAAGTTTTCTGTTTGAATGTATTTACTCATTACTTTTTACTTTTCATGAAATATTCAGGTCCTAATAAAAATACCTTGGATTGGAGCAAAAGGTATAAAATTATTTTGGGGATAGCAGATGGCCTCCTCTATCTTCATGAGATTTGTCAAAGGCGAATCATTCATAGAGATCTTAAATCAGATAACATTCTGCTCACTGAGAATTTTGAGCCGCAGGTATTTATCAGTGATTATAGAGAATTAATAAAAGAAGGCATTATTAACCTTTGCTGGTGAAACTTGGCACAGTCTTCTGCATTTCTTCTCATTTTCTGATACACGTGAGTAGTTATCACTAGGATCATTCCATGCTTAAAAGTAATATATGATGATACTTCCTGTGGTTAGCTCGAAATGTGTGCAACTAATGAATGACGCATTGGATGGCAATGCTTTGGTCTGTGGACAATCCTCTCACAGAGCAACATCAAACTATCTATATTTTGTGATCCTTAGCATCTACGTCCAGTTTAGAATTTTGAAAATAAAGCATATTCTCTGAAAATCTTCAACCTTTCCAAGAGATGATTATATGAATTGAGCCATGACAGTGTGTGCCAATTGTTCTCTTTCATGCCATGCTATTACATATTCTGCTGGTGAAATAATTAGAAGCAGACACCTTTGCTTCTGGATCCCCTACCAGTACTCTACTAATGTACAAGTTCGAGGCTTATATATCATCTGATCTATCACTAACTAATTGAGAATTTCTACAGATTTGTGATTTTGGGCTCTCAAAATGGCTACCAGAACCCTGCAGTCATCATATTGTACCAAAATTTGAAGGCACAGTTGGGTAAGCAAATGCATACATACATCAAACTTCTAAAACTATATTCATGACTTAACACTTCCCCCTCATCATTCCATTGACAGGTATTTTGCTCCTGAGTATGTGATGCATGGCATTGTAAACGAAAAAACTGATATTTATTCCTTTGGGGTCTTACTTTTGGAGATTATAACTGGGCGTCGTGCTTTGGATCATCTGAAAGAAAGTATTATGCTATGGGTAAGTCATTCTCCCAAGTTTGGCTATGTCATATATTATCTAAGTTTACAAGCTCAGAGGCCTCAGCACATTGTGATTTCTTGTGTTACAGGCAAAGCCTTTATTGGAAGCTAATAATATTAAGGACCTTGTTGATCCTTCTCTGGGTGATGATTATGACTGGGAACAAATGGAACGTGTAGTTTTGACTGCATCACTGTGTGTTGAGCAGTTTCCTATCTTACGCCCCAGAATGAGTCAGGTAAGTATGCAACATAGAAAGTTGCAGTATTGTAATATTAGTGATAATAAACTAAGATATTGTTGGTTACTGTAACTGTAACTATATATCAGTTAACTTTGGTTTAAGAGAAGATTGATCACGTTTTCTCTGTTTGGTGCAGATTGCAATACTGCTAAGAGGTGATGACTATGTCATGGAACATACTGAGAGGAGTAACAAGATGTACAAGAATACAACTCAAGGAGCTATTTAAGTGTTGTCAGTTGGCATAATCAGGTTGCCTTGGATTCTTGAGAACTAAGGACATCATATTAAAAACATTTGATCGTTGATTGTGTTACTGTGTCGGATTTGGATTGTCTGCTGAGTCTTCAAAATACACTTACACACTAATGTATTGATTTTGATGTTCTAAAATATATTAAAAACTTTTTTAATATATATCATCAGTGTATTTTGAAAACTCAGCAGATGGATAATCCTAAAATTCTGGCAAAAAATTTGGACTCAAATGCACTATTGAACTTTTTTGCTTATAGGAAGAAAGGAGGGATATAAAATCTTACATTCTGTTCTTTGTTATTATTATGAAAATTGACTATTATGAGAAATCATCCATAAATATAGAATTATTTTTGTCCATTCTCTTTGCACTCAATTTAGGATAATAATATGTTAACACAGATTTTTTTTGACAAAATTTTAATACAACACACATGTCATTTTTTTATTAGGTTTAGTACGTCACCACAATAATAAATAAATAACGAACGAGTGAAAAAATGGCATGTATGCTGTCAAAATATTATCTGAAAATCTGTGTCAAAATATTTTTTCTCCCATATCTCATACAATTTTGGTCTCAATGACTGTACTCATAAATATAAAATGATTAGCTGTTGTTCAAATATATCAACACAAGTATCTCCTATCTCATACAATTCTTTTTCAAACTTCAAACATCACACTCAGGTTTCTTAATGCTCTCTTTGTTAAACATCTGAATTCTTTCTTACCTTCTTTTAAAAAATTTCACATAATATTTTATTCATTTCTTATAATTATAATGTCAGTACATATTGTAACATACCAAAAATACAGTATAAAACCATATACGAGAATAATCACATATTAATAATACTACAGATCAGTTCTACACATAAAGAGATACTATTATGGTCGAATGACCTTACATAATAGCAGGGAATTAAAATCGCACACTGGCTACAACTAGACAGAATGGCTTACAAAAATAAACTTATACCGAACGATCTTACAAAAGATGAAAGCAACAACAGATCGAACGTTCCTAAGATTCGGCCTTCACTTCTGCCTCTTCCAATGCTTCTTCCAGCAGCTCTTCTCCTTCTGCTCACATCCACACGGATGATCATTGCAACAGGACAACAACCGAACACACAACACAGACAACAATGATAAACAGGGTAATCTTATGTAATTTAATTAATTCAATAATAACATTCAACGTTCATAATTAAATCAACAACACCCAAATCATAATTCATGCGTAATGGCATACAAAAACCGATCACTTGACTCTGACTGTCCGGACTGTATGAATCCTGTGTAGCTACGACGTTTGTGCACCCGGGTGATGTAGTAACTGAGATACCCTCAACAGCTGACACCAAAGGTTAATCCGTTCCGTCCAAGTTAACCTTATGGACTAGGACCTCCTGTCATTCTCACACCTGACTTAGTCCTCTCTACGTGAGAATGAGTAATCATGGAATATTAGGATAAACGCCCGCTAAGCTTTGCCTACATTCATACTTTACCAATCAATAACCACTTTCTGAGATATTCCTCCCTGGAATACTCTTTCATAACCAAACTATTTCATTCACATCACATTTCAAATTCTCTTATACTTCATCATCAATGTATTTAACTAAAATAAGATCACACTTTCTCATCATAGCACAAGTACGACTGGAATAACACTTCTTAGAAACTAACATGACCGAGCACTATTTACGAATTTATCCACTTCAATAAAACAGACCCCTAAGAATTCAAACCGGAAGCCACGAAGCCTAGGCCGAGTACTAAGACTCTAGGCCGAACAACTTTTAAAGACCAACATTGTTTGACACCCAATACTAATACTGATGAGAAACTATAACGAACGCTGTCGAGTTTGGCTGAAGTCTCTTATTCTAAAAACGGTAATAATAGATTACTGAAACGAGACCCAGCGCTTGGTTTAAGACTGAGCCCTATAGAAATCGAACACTATTAAACGAGCGTTGGTCCAAGACCAAGTACTTATCAAGAACGAGCGCTACTGAGATCGAACGCTTGGTCCAAGACCGAGCAATACTAAACTTACATAAAATGAATGAATATATATATATATATATATGTATATATATATGTATATGTATATACTTACGCCACACTTAATTTTTTTAATGAAGAATAATGATAACCTCTACGACTTTAAGTAGTATAGTATATATATTAACTAAACTGTTTAGGAAACCTAACGGAGAACTACACTTAGGCCGAACGCTCATTTACGTATATCTAATATTATAAAACGATCTCCATTAACGAGATTCTCTCCAGAATAAGAATTTAGTTTAGACGGACGCTCAAAGGAACACTAAACGGTCAAATACTGACTCTCGGTTACATTTTACCTAATTCTGCAGAGTATTACAGAATGTCTCTTAGACAATATCCCTAAAGCATGAGAAATCAGTTAAGACTATACACTTCCATGAAGAATCGAACGATCACTAATGACGCTCGACCATACTACAACATTTACTCAGAATACTACAGATTGAAGATCAAACCCTATCTCAACTCAGTTCACACCATTTATCAATCGTCCATTCCCACATCCAAACATGCAGTAACACACATATTTCATACTCATCAATTAATCAAACAAAGTATCATACAAACATACAAACATTCAAAACAACAATCTTAATCAAATTATATAAGTTTTCCTTACCTCTAAACGTAATCGACGCTTACAGATGCAGAATAGAGCTCACCACTACCAAAGACTTTACGTTCGACAGTCACGTTTTAGGAATACTGAACCTAACAGAAGACCAGACATACTCAGAATAATACGATTCGCTCAGGCAACCAGAAATCTGAATTTGCACGCGAGAAGAAACGAACGTGCTAAAGAGAAAGAAACTCACCGGCTTAGAACCACAAACCGATCGGTTTAAACGAAAGCTCTTTACGCCGGGAGAGTTCAAGCGGTGCCTGAGAGGTGATCGGAAGAAGAAAAGATGAGATTTTCTTAGAGAGAAAGTGGAGATTTTAGATAGAAGGAGGAGAAAACATTTTCAGCAATTTGGAGAAGAAGGAAAACATGCAGAGAAGTGGCACGCCATTTGAAAATTTGGCATTAAGTACTGTCGTCACCCAAAACCGAACGGCCACTCTCCTGCAGCCACCAGTTTTCTACTAACTGAAACGCTCACTCTCTCCTTAGCACATGGATCCCACTACTTGGGTTTTTAATGGATTTTTAAGGGGTCTGACACATTAATTTCAGAATAATTAAATCACCGTAATTCTTAGCTCAATGATCTTGTTCTAACTCCTAAACTTCTTTTTCACTTGAAAGCATTTCAAATAACATTTTCAATTATTTCGCACACTCAAAAGTCATTCTTAACATTAAAATAAAATAAAAAAGGCGATATGTGAAATATTAGCCATGAATCCAAAGTTTACACCATCAAAACTAGTGTTCTTAAAACTCGACGTGATGAATAAATATCATTGGCATCAGATGATCGATAGGTGCTACAACAGCAACCGATGTTCAGTGCAAGAGATTCAATCAATAGTAATAACAAACAACCTCTTATCACTATATAACAGATAAAATAACATGTTTTCTCATTTTATCAAACACATGTATTGCACAAAGAAACATGTAGGTCAGCTTAGTCATGACCAGTCAATCAAAGAAGTCAGAATAAAATGTAAACTGATCGTACTTCTCATAGAGTAATAAACTATCCATAATAAACAGATTAAGCATTAATTAGCTTTTTCAGCCCAAAAATTATATATTTCCTTCAAATCAAATAACCTAGCCTTTTCCTTATGACCATAACCAACTTAATGATAAAAATATCCTCATTTAAAATATAAAATACTATAAATATATTTTTAGTTATTATATTTAGACGTGAAATTAAATTTTATGTTTGTCTCAAATTTGGATAAATTTTGGTCTCTAAATTTTAAAATAAATTAACATAGTACTTTCAATCCATCGAGGTTAACTTTATTTTATGTGTTAAATGGTAATACATTTGAATTGAAATGTGTAATGTAAATAATTCAAACATAACTTAAAATGCAGTTTAACACGTCAAAAAGTCTTACAAGTTGAATTAAAAATACTATATTTATTTACTTTTAAAGTTTAAAGATTAAATTATATTAAAGTTTGAAACAACAAATTTTAATTTTGCATTTAAATTTTTGTTACTAAAGACTTATTTAAGTAGTATAAAATACATCAAAACACAAAACAGCACAAAAAAACAAGATTTAGATATTTCTCTGTGAACAATCCGAACTAAGAGAGAGAACAAAGAAACGTTATACATTAAGCTTTCTTTAATTTCTTAGTTATTTTTGCAATGGGTTATGAGCTCACAAGGCTAAAGTTGAGTATTATACCGAATTATTTTATCTAGAGAGTAATTTGCAGACTACCTTGATTAGCCATGAGTTTTAAGTGGGTTTTTTTAACATAACTAAAATATGTTACCAAAAATTATTTAAGAATATAAATTTATTCAGTAATTATTGAAAATTATAACACCGAAAAAGTAATTATCCACTTACTATAAACCTCTCAACAAAGGGTCTCTAACTCAAAGGATAATCATACTTTAAGAACATTTTTTTGATAACATTTTAACATCATCTATGTATCATTCTATGATTGGTCCACGTTAGTGTTTATGATTATTATTATTGATTGTGAAATAATTTTGGACCAATCACAGAATGACACGTAAATGATGTTAAAATATTATTAAAAAAATATTGTCAAAGCATCGTTGTCCTAACTCAGTATTCGAAAATATACAACTTCAATATACACAAAATATATAACATACAAAAATTTATAAGAATATAAAATGTCCTGTTGCTCCTGCCCACTCATATTAAGTCATCATACAAATATCACATAGAAGAAACAAAAGCTGCATGCCTCCAACCGCGAGGCTAAGGAAGAAGAAATAGGTTCCAAGAGCTGCAGGACAAAAAAAAATCATAGCACGAAACTCCTGGCGTGAGAGAGAATAGGGAAACATGTGATTGGGAAATTCGACACGTATAAAAAAAAAATTGTCGTATTTTTTATCGACAAATTTAGTGATTGATAAATCTATCAATAATAACCATTTTAAGATTATCGATCAATTTATCGATAAATTTTAAGATTTATATGAATTATTAGATTTTATTAATGAAAAAATTCATCTAAATAAAATATATTATTAAAGAATTTATTTATTAATTTTTTATAAAAGTTTATTAATAAAATCTGTTGGTAATTAAAATTTCAAAATTTATTAGTAAATTTTTCAATAATTTAAATTTTTTA